TTTTCTAAGAAGGATCCTCAATGTGCACCTTGGTTTTGCAAATTAATATATCATAAGATTGGTATACACACAACGTTTGAATGTACAACCTATTTATATTACTGATTCATCTATTTTAGCTACTTGTTCATTTGCTTATTTGTTTATTAGTATGTACGTTTGTTTTGTTTAAAAAATGCTTGCCAGTGTGTAGTTATATAATGTTCATTACCTACCTTATTGACGCATATGACATATATGCCGCATACACATGCTAGCAGAGGCGCAACTGTCTAGAGTGTGCATATATCAATCGTATGTTCACATCATGGTTTGATGATCATCTTTGAATCTTCGTAATCGCATGCAAATGGATGATATCAATATCAATAATCAGCCTTCTGTTGTTTGTCATGGTCGCAGGTTATAACATCATAATATGCCTCTAGGATGGAGGCATTCCAAAATAACTGCTTTTATGATATGATATGATTCAGATATGATTTGCTGTTATGATTTGTTGGTGGCCTGGTTTTGCAGTTATGATTTTGATATGGTTTCAGCAGTGGCTCAAAACTGTGATTTTGATGTGGGTCAAAAGTGTGATTTGTGTGCGTGTGTTTTTTTGTTGGGGGGTGCTTTGATTTTTTCAAACATGTCTTGAACACATATCAAAATCATATCAACATCATATGAAAATTCGAGAAATCGACCAAAAGCGTGTCCGGGCTGTTTCCGTTTCTGATTTCGAATCCAAGCCATCGGGAACTCTGAAAAAGACGCTCCGTTCCCACACCATATCAAAACCATATCAAATTTATATCCAAAACCATATCGAAATCATGACCCAAATCATATCCAATTCATAACAAAACCATGTCGAAATCATAATTTAAAATTCAAAACGTATCAAATTCAAATTAACACCATATTACAATTATTCACCATATTACAATTATATCAACACCATATTACAATTATTCAAACACATATTTCCTGAATTTGGTTTCCTGGGGATTTTGATTTTATAAGTCGCAGGGGTTTCAGGTCCAACGGGTCTGACATGTCCAAATGTGTCCCCGGGAAATAGTGGGTCCCACGACCAGAACTGATACGGAGGAGGAATGGAGAAGCAACGGTGCAGATGGCGACTTGGCCCATGCATTGCAGAGAACTTCCAGGAATGTTGAAATGGGAACAGTTGACCATTGAAAGTTGGTTGGTGATTATAGGAGTTTACTGTGCCACTATTGTGGAAATCCCAATCCATTTGGAGGGCTTTTCAAATATGTCTTGACACTGCTGAAAATTGGCATGGCTCAAAGTTTCATGCACCCACAAACTGGAGGGCAAAAAAAAAAGGTCCATTGGTAGGACCATCTTCTAGTCACAGCCAGGATGCTGAAGTTGTTTGTAGCTTCACGGAGTGCTGATACTGCCGCCCTTTGATAGGGACAGCTGATGGATATCACTACCAACATGGTCGTCATGCCACAACCACTTGTCCTTATACATGGGCATATATTGGCATCAACAAGAGTTCATGATATACACCCGAAATTAGCCTACTTCCAGCCTTCCGGCCAGTTTTTTTGTCTTCAGTGAGGTTGTTTCGACTTTGTAGAGATGAATTTCTCCAAAACCAAGATGACAAACGATGGCTTGAGAGAAGTGGTGAAATTTTGTCAAAGATGCCCTGAGCTTCGGGTGCTAAAGCTCTTCCAGAATCAGCTGGACGACGAGGGTTGCAAGGAGCTCCTCAGTGTTTTCAAAGACTGCACAGCTTTGGAGGAGCTGCACTTGAGCCACAATTGGATCACCGAAAAAGGTGTAGAAATGCTAGCCACAGCCGCGCTTGAAAACTTGACTTCCAGGTTTTCTCGTCCTTTTTGGCTGAGAGTCGAGCACAACAACTTCAGCTATGCATCAAGCTTTATAGAAGATCTGAAGACCAAGTTTCATCCACAAATTTGTGGCCGAGAGGATCGGCGGCATTGCTCCAACTTCAGGTGCATCAAAGACTGCCGGATGCATATCCCCTTCCTGGTGGATGAAAGGGGGAGCAAAGGTTCCCAAGGGAACTGGGGCCGCTGGAACAACAATAGCCAGGAGGAATGGTCCTACAACTACGACCAGAAGTACAAGGCCTCGCACAAGTCGCGGAGCCGATCTCCACCAACTCAGCCAATCCGCCTGAAAGAACGGCAATTGTCTCCTCCCATGATGAGAGCGAAGCGCCCGCGAGAGCGTTCTGATCGTTCGCCCATCGACCGGCGGGAGAGCTACTACCAAGACACGGACTACCCGGCCTACAGCAATCGACGGATGCGAAATGAGCCAGCATACGCTCCTGCCTACAATCACTACAATCAATACCATCAATACCATCCAAGGGACCAGAGAGACCCAAGAGACCCAAGATACCCAAGAGACCCAAGATACCCAAGAGACCCAAGGGACCAGTACCATCCTCCAACGGCTCCCAGAGCCCCAAGTCCACCTCGAAGAGTTACTCGGCCTCAAAGCCCTTCAAGAATGCCAGGCCGCTGGCCTGCATCCGGCAGACGAAATCGGCAAACTCCCATGGAGCCGCCCAGGCCCAACCAGCCACCCAAACAGCAAGCCCCAGCAGGACCAGTTCGTCGTCCACCCTCCCCACCGCTTCCAAAACAGAAGTCCCAACAAGCACAGTACGCATTGCCGGCACCTTTGCAAGGGCAAGCTCCACCGGATGTTGATGGAGACTCGGAATACAGCTATGACTACTACAGTGATGACTACAGCTATGATGATGATGATGAGCCACCAGCAGCTCCAGCAACCCTGGCCCATCCAGGCCATCCAGGCCATCCTGGTCATCCTGGCCATCCTGGCCATCCTGGCCATCCTGGCCATCCTGGCCATCCTGGCCATCCTCCAGTGGTAGTTCCAAAGATGAAGGTTTCCCGGGAGGCCGCGCCTGCACCGATGCCTTCCAGGGCTCCCAAGGCCAGACCTCCACCACGGCAACCGCCTGTAGGGGCACCTCGAGCACCAAGGGCACGTGCACGTATGGGGGAGCAGATGGTCAGGTACGAGGCTGATCCCAGAAATCCAGGGCCTAGGGATAGGCCAGTGCGCCAAGCAATGCGGCGCCGAGTCACATAGCCATCATAGTCATAGAGTCTTTCAGTTTTCATAGATTCCCATTGCATCAAAGGCGATCGCAGTCGTAGGTGACGACTGCAGACATCGTTTGGCTTGCAGCTGACGATGACAGAGGCTCTGGCCTCTTGCTAATACTTCAGGCTGTGCAACCCTAGGCGTGATGCGGGCTCGACCATTTTAAAAGGATCACTGCGAATTTTGTTGCGTGGCTTTCTCGAAGGTGTTTCACGTGAACAGATTGGAAGACTTTGATTTTTCTAGGTGTTTAAGTGGTATTATGTGCCCATGAGGGGTGAAAATTCTAGCATGTCTAAACGATGAAACCACCATGTGTCACTCTGCAAGATGCTGAATTCAAGCCTGAAGACAGGGTTAAGCTTGGTTCATTGTGGCCTTGGCAAAGCGTGCAGAACACATAGGGTTGCATCCAATAGTGTTTTAAGTTGGCTTTGTTGGCTTGTTGGTGTATATCATCCCACAATATCCCACACTAAGTGGCTTGTACTGGGGCTATCATATAATATGATCATAACATGGTTGTAACACGATTAATTATATATATAACACACTCAGAGATAAATAAATAAATAAATAAATTAAAAAATATATATATATATAAATAAACAAATGCCGTACATTACCATACTATACCCACCTACTTGGTCCTGCACATCCCGATAGCTCGCCCAGCCATGGTGGTCCTAGGCGGCTGCGGAATTCAGCTTGATCATGCTTGATCCAATGCCATTCGTAGTGTCGTAGTGTACCTGGTGGTTGGCCTATGTAGGCCTATGTAGGCCTATGTAGATTCAGTATACTAAGACATACTATATATAAGTATACTATCTCAGATATCTCAGTATATTTTCACATTTGGACCATTTGGATCATTTCGCCTGACGATCCACGGTGACCTCATCAGGCTATGATGTGACGCACGAAGCTCAGTGGACGTTTTCTGCGCGCAGATGAGAACTTGGAGCAAGACATGGTACTGTAGAATCTAATATCCCATGGGAATGTAGCCATAGTAGCCATGCAGAATTCCCGAAGTACCTGAATGTATCATTGAACTTGTTAGGGAGTCACCGAGCTTAGCACAGCCTGGGACCTTGTCTTTGCATCACTCACAGCAGTGAGTGTTTTCTACCACAGTTGGTGAGTTGCCGCAGTGGCGAAATTATGGATATATCGGATACATATGGAACGTCATGAAACCATGGCAGAAAGCCCGCGTGCTTTCTGTCGTGCAGCTGGAATCTTGTGGGAGTCTCCCTGCCATGCGGCCATTGAGTGCTCAAGCACCGGCGAGCAAGCTTTTGTGCACCAGTCCCAAAAAAATTGCAGGCGTGTGGCAAAGTGTGACGGTGGGTTATATAGTTATATGGGTGACCAAAGAGAAGCCGAGAGCAGACGTTCAGGATCCAGATATATCTAGATGTATTAACTGCATGGTATGTATAATTAGTTCTAGTTGTATCAGATGCTGGCCAGTTCTGAACTTGAACCTATGCCAGCAACGGACTGCTAACCTGAAACCTAGAAACACTGTTAGCCTTCCTGACACCAGAAACAACCCGCGGTACTGATCTTTATCCTGAGTGACCTGAGTGGTATTGGTTTGTCATGGCTGTTCATGGTCCATCGTTGACCTTGGGCATTCCGATCAATCTGGCGGGCTGTGTTTCTTGCATCTTTGTATATCTTTGTAATTCTTTGTATATCTTTGTGTTGGCTTGCGTCAGGGTGACCAATGGGTGGCCAACAGTCAAAGTGTGCTGCTTGCTGTGGGGACAAGGACGAGTCAGGCCAGAGGGTATTTATTCTTTTGGGTTACGAAACCATCGTATCAATCCTTAGATTCGTTTCTTCCCTTGATGTTCATTGGAGTTTTGTAGTGTCGATGGTTTGAGGGGGTTTCAGTGTCTGCCATCCGCCTGCTGTGCAACATTCCCTTGCAGACTTTGACAATCTTTGCTTCAACATTCCAGACTCTCCATTCGTAGTGTTTTTTTGTGTAAGTTGACTTTCGAATGACAACTTTGCGTTATGGCTTTATTTGTTAACTTTATTGCGATGTGGGCGCAGACATTCGAAGTTTGAAGGGAGCTGCAGGGAGTTTTGCAGAACAGTTGCGACATGTTCCGAAGTCCCAAATCGTATTTTACGGTGCCAAGGCTCATGCACTTCCAATATGTCCTGACTTCTTTGGGGTGCATCCCAATTAATAAATGCTTTAGAACCAAGATCTTGCTGCATATCGGCATAGCTTACAGTATTCTATATTATACTCCACCAAAAGTCCCAGTAACTATAGTCCAGCACATCCAAGTTGCGTGCTTTGAAAATAGGTTATATGCATTCCATCTTATGGTTAATCATCAGATATCATCATTTTCCCTACTAAAATCGGCATATAGTGGCCACATAGGGGGGGTCTCATATCCTATTTTCGAACATACCCAAAATTTGTGCAATATTTTTGGTGATAAGTCTTCTATTTATATGCCATATGCATAGCGTATATCTCGCATGATATTATATTTATGTTAAATATTCATGCAGGATTCATGTTAAATGCAGATATTCACGGGGCAACAGGGGGAAATATATGGTCTCCATGTGTATCCCCATATTTTGGTGATATCCCATGATATTTCCATGGTATTTCCATCATATCCCTATGACAACTGCCGCAACTGCGCCCTGTGAAAACACCAGGCAAGGACATCTCCATCCAACCTCCCGAGGGCACAGGTCTTGCTGGCACGGAAGAGGTGGCTGAGACGATGCTGGGACCGACTGCGTTTCCCCGACGTAAGGGTTGTTCAGTTGGTTTAGGGATGTTTAGGTTTTTTTTTAAATGTTTTATTTATGGTTGGTAGACTTAGATGTTGGTAGTTTGTTTTCGCCCGATTTTATTATCCATTGTTTGTTGGTTTTGTGTTTCTTTCTTTCAAAGTGTCTAAGGGTTTTGGTTTAAGGCTCCAAACACTGCAAAAAATCGGGGAATCTGTGCAAGACGCGGTGCCTTATGCAAGTACAAGAATGCAACAAGACGCAGGCAATATCAATATTTTGCATGTCCGCAGTTTGCGAAAAGCACGCGTCGAAGCAACACACAGATTGCAGTCCCGCATGGATTTTTGTCTGTTTCTTGACAACGTCAGCCCCCTAGCGAAATGCTCATTGAGATGTCTTTACAAATTAATATGCCTTTTCGATCCTTTTCGGCATTTTTTAGCGGGTCTTCTCCAAATGAGCGTACTTGCGCAACTCTTGAGATTTGTCTGCTTTGTGCGTTTTGTCGGCAAAATTATGCGCGTAAATACCCGGGAATGGAAGCGTGTGTAGAAACCCGGGCCGTCCGTCAGCACAAATGCGCGTCTTTTAGTTCGAGTGAGCATTAAAAAATCAGAAGGAGCAGAAACCCTGGCAAAACATGCGATGAGCAGAAAACAACTGCAGATTGAAGATCTGAGTAAGGGCTTATCGAATACATTCCAATACATTGGGGATGGTCACAATCCACTGTGGAAAATCTTGTTGACCAACTGGGGAAGATTCTCAGGGTAGGGGAGCCAAGGCTACGAATTGAGTTTTCCCACCATATGGCAGATGATTATTGCTGATTACCGTTTGGTCATTAATCCGTCATGGTTGTCCGGAAATTTCCCCATTGAATTCGATGGTTTGCCCATGTTTGCCCGTTGAAATGTTGGACGGGGTTTCTCATAGCCATGTTGGAGAACTGTTACTGGGGTTGCTAACCATCCTGGCTAATGTGATCGTTCCTGGTGATTAATGTTGGTGCTAATTAATGTTAAAATACTGAAATAATCTAAAGTCAATGCCGGTTAATGATGATTAATGGTGGTTAGTGTTGGGCTGTTGGAGATGATGGCGCTTACCGGTGTTGTTTATGGTGTTTTTTATTGTTTTTATTTTCCGGGTGCTGGTTTTGCCTGGTTAGAGTGACTGAAAGGTGTGGATAAGGTGGCTTGTAATGAAGTCAATAAAAAGCCTGCTTGCAAGAGGTCCCCATTGCCATCAACAGTCAGCAACTGTCAGCGTTTTGTTCGATGATAACCCTCCGGTAATTTAACATAGCAAAGGGAACATCACCATTCTTAATGAGGCTAATTGCTGATAGTGCCAAATCATGCAAGCCATCCCGCGCAGCTAAGGAAGATCGAGGGAGTTGCTCCAGTGGCTGCCACAGACAAGGCAAGCATCTCAACAGGACATGCGTTGTGGTCCTTTCCCAAGATTTTCCCTACTTTTGTGCTGATTGAGTGCCACAAAAATGCATAAAGATCCTCAAAAAGAATCAAAAAGAGAAACTCAGAGGAGAAGATGGTGGAGGTGGAGTGTCATCTCCACTGGTTGTACTCACATGTTTCTTCATTCTCCGCAGCCACAGGGGCCCTTGAGCAGGCTTTGCCACTGTGTACAATCGAATTAACGTTGGAAAGCTTGAAGAGATTTGAAGAGTCCAAGTTGTCAACATCGGCCGAAGAAAGAGCAACTAGACTGAGCGCACACGATAATGAGGAGTCAAGAGTCAAGAGAGGGTTTTGATGGGATTATATATGGGATTTAAATGTTGAATGTGTTCTTTTCCTTTGGGAGGTACCTGACCTTAAGACTTCAGGACAGACCAAGACTTCAGGACAGTGCCGGAAGGCATGACCAAAACCCCATCTAATCCATAGCCAGCACCCATGGCCGAGTACGTACAGCCATATGCCGAAGCTCTTCAAGAGCGCCTGGTGCCTTTTCCAACTGAGTTTAGGGAGTTCGCCAGTGCCGCTCCCGCTGCGGGCGGCAGCGACAGCGGTGAAAGCGAGGGATCAGCTGATGGCAATTCTGACGATGACTGGATGTCCCCCTGGGACAGCGGCGATATGATCGGCGCGACTGGCGTCCGCGATGGATACAAACTTCCATCAATGCATGGCTTTCGCATGATCTCTTTGAGTGACCCAGCTTGATTTGGTTGTGGAATCTGCTGGCCGGGCTGTTGACATCAAAGACACATAATATGAATATAAGGACTTAAAATGTGCAAAGAATTTCTCCATTCATTCCATTTTGCTGGTAATCTTAGATGTTCTTATTCCATTTTATCCGCGTTGTCTCTCAACCACCATAGCTCGAGTCCAGAATCCTTCGATGTCCTAGGCTTCAATGGACCAAGCCTGGTGGGATACAGCATGGTGCCTGGCTGGTGGTTTCCGTTTTCTTTTTTGTACATATGTTCTTTGGCAAATCAACTATTGTGTTGCTAAAAAGGGGGTGATGAACCATGATGAGCCCCAATCGACTTTCATATATATTATATAATATTTTTCCAGACTTTGAAATGATTGAGCAAAGCTTCTAGTGACTTTGGTATCAAGAGGGTTTAGACTACCAGGTGGGAACTGAAATCTTCACCACTTCCTTGGCCGCGGGAGCAACTGCAGCAGACGTTCTGGAGGCAGCCAGTTCTGCCATGGGAGTTGAGCCAGCGAGTCTGACACTGCTGTGCCACGGAGCGCCGCTAGAGCCACAAGAGAGACATCTCTGCAGTTGGCAAAGATTGAATGTGGAGGTACTCGGAGGTACTCATGTGGGTTTGTTTGAGAATAGGGTACCTTCAATATCTTCAATCCTACTGGAGTATCATTATATAGTTATTTTCCGATCAAACAGCAATTGTTTGGGGCATACCCCATTTCGGACACACCGGTCAAAATTGACGTACCACTGGGCCCACAAAATTCGCAATCATTTTGAGATTTCTCAGAAATGAAATGCAGTAACACATTCCTTGTTGTTTTTTTTGGGGGGTGCTCATTTTCACCCATGCCCATTTGCTGCCTACCAGCCTGCCATCTCACTTGCTGGGTTACTGTAAGTCTTGGGTTTCCGCGTAGCGGACCATGGGTCTTGCGTAAAGTTAAAGGGTGGGCAAGGTCGTCAAAACGCAGGCATGCACACAGCAGTTGATGTCCAATGTGTTCACACTTACGAACAGCATTGGAGCTAGGCTGGGGTTGCACAAGGTCCATTCTCATCGGGTGGGAGGGGAAACTCCAAGCACATCGAGGAGTAGTGGTTTGTTGGCGGTTTGAGTTGCAACAATAGTTGGAACATGGTGGAAGATGTGGAAGTGAGATCTAAGGACTCTTTCAGATTTTACATCGATGGCGATCAGGCTGGCAGAAGTTTATGTCACTTCATGACTTATGGAGTTCCCAGCAGAGGCCTCAGAGCCTGAGAGGAGGTTACGATCTAAAGATACCAGGATGAGAATCAAGATTAATCGATATCAACCAAGAAGGACCTGGTAGGATTTCAAGCAATGCTATACATTGTCCTTTATTGATGTTAGGATGGAATAGTTTTTCTATTTTGTGTGCTGGCTTTTGTCAAACTAATTTTTGTCCCGTAATGGGCAAGTTTCTTGTTTGCGTGCGTCCCCTGGCAAAGCGCTTTCAGGCAGGTGCTCCATACAGGCCCGGCAGTATATGTGTGTGAGCAAAATGCTCGTTGACGCTTTGGCTGCAATGTAATCTAGAAAACGTTCCACACTTGTCGAGATGCTCACTGAATTGCCAGTTTAGCTTTCAACATACTGAACATGACATGTTTAAACTTACATACCTGCAAAATCCACCTGTGCCAAATTCAAGTACGAGGTGACATTCAAGTATCTGACATTCAAGTACGAGGTGACTAGGTGAATCTTGCAGGGAAGATGGACTCAGGTTGCTGATGCTAGCCACGCAAAGATCATTGCCGATCATTCCCAGTTGTAACCTGTGTCGCGGTTTGTTGCCCAGAGGCATCCAGCTATATCCAGCGCCAAGGTGAAACGGACACCTTCTTCGGTGGTAGTTGCGAGGTGATCGTCAATCGGGACAAGTTGCCGAATCCTGGCATTGCCACCATCCAAGCGCTTCAAGAGACGAGGGACCCTTGGCATTTTAAGTGGTGGTCCTGGAGCCGAGCGGAAAGTGCAGCTGCTGCAGCTTTCAGGATGTGGGAAGATCATGGAAGATCGACTTTCTCTCCTGCCTATATAGGTATTTGATGGTATTTGATATTAGTTGATGACATTTTAAATCATTTTACCAATACACTTCAATACACGTGCAGATCGTTTGGTCCAGCTTTGCTTGATTGGTGTGCATGTCAAACTTAAGGAATTCGTCACACCACATCGCTTCGACTGCTGGCTGATTTACACGAAACATGAAGCCGGCGCGCTCAGCAACATTTTTCTTTCAGTCAGCAAGTTGCAGAGCAAGTGTCAGCAGTGATATTTGTTTAGTGCTTTTGTTGTGCTCTCTGCCGAAGCTGGACAACGGATGACATGATGACAACGGAGGTCTTGCTGTATCAACGGCCAACTGAAAAGCGTCGAAAGCATGATCTCTTGATCCCGCTGGGCTTCTTCCCTCCTGCGCCCAAGTGGTCCTTTCCTGCCGGCTCTCGGCGATGGGGTCGGGTGTCCAAGAGTATCCAAGAGTCATTTCTGCTCGGAAGGGTTGGCGATTGAGCCATGGTGTAGCACCAAAAGATGGGATGGGATTCTTATACTTGCTCAATTGTATGAATCTCAGTAAATCTCTCATAATCTGCATGCATGCAACATTATATGAATGTATAATAATGTATACCATAATCGTTTGCATGTACAGCAATTGTATGAATCCCTCAGTGTTTTGTTTGCTCTTTTTTGATGTGCATCATAGAATCTACGCAACTATTTGGAATGGAGAGGATGGACACGTGCATGGAAAGAAAGACTATGTAGATAAGGAAAGTGGAGAGGCAGATAGAACAACATATTTTCGTGATGTTTCGTGCGAATACCTGGCTGTTCCTGGTTGTTATGGGCTCAATGCAGTGGAAAATCATTCAAGCCAATCAGTTGGATAGATTAGATCAGATTAGAACACCCACTTATTAAGATGTTGGACAAGATCAGATGTGGTCAAGCTAGATTTGATATGATAGGATAGAACAGGATAGGATGGCCGAAGGGCGCATGGATTAGATGAGACGAACCTCGAGACACCATAAATATAGTGGACTGAATGGGTATGGTTTGGAGCTACTGTAGACAGACAAACGTCTATCCAGTTTAAAGCCTTCCTGTGTCATGTCATGCAATGTTGGGCAAACCTAAATCTGAAAGTGTATGAATTCATCAGTTACAGCTTAGCACCAGGCACGCCTTTCATACGTTGCAGGTCAACTCTCAGATGTTTGGAGCGCCTGTGTGGAAATGCCGCAGATCAAGGGGCTCATGGATACACACGCTGACCTCACCTTGGATAGGCCTGGAGATGATGATCTTGGATGATTTTGGATGTGGGATTTCAGATAGAGGGAGCAACAGGATCCAGAAGCATTTCACTGAGAATTGAAGGAAGCGTTCTGGCAGAACATAGTGCATGATGTACAATCATAATATATCATAATCAACGTTGGTTTTAGGATTGTGAGCGAGGATGCAAGCTTCAACATTGTAAACAAAGCCAACGCTTTCGAGGCCGATTCCTCGCTACCAGATGATTGTTGACCCGAATCAGTGGCCTGCCTAACCCGCATAACTTTGGGAACACCCAAAGTTCCAAATTCCAAGGAGCATGTGGTCTGCGGTATGTTGGGGGGGGGGCTGAAAGTGCGTGGGAATGGTCATGTGTTTTCATTTTGCGGCTGAGAGTTTTTTTTTGGCCAACCTCACAGCTTCAGATGACTTGGAGTGTTGGTGACATGCGAAGCTTTAAGCAGGTGCATGCCGCTGTGTGTTGTTGGCTGGGTATGTTGACTCTTGATGTTTCAACTATGTTGTTTTTTTTGTAATACAAGGGCTTTGGTGACATGAGCAATTGCAGCACTGGTTTGCTACATGGGGTGGGCTACAGTGAACATAAGAAAGGTCATGATATGTCACGACGTTTTGCAGAAGTGACCACTGAGAACTACTATTGGTGGGGCCGCGGCCGCAACATTTCCTATTTACCAGAGAAAACGACACTGGCATGTTGATGCAACAGCTGGGTGACGAGGTTTGTGAATCTAATCTATCTCTCCATGATTGTGTCTCTAAGTTTCAACAGGCAGGTATTTCATGTGAAGATCAGAGCCAGCAGCGGTTTTGTTCTTTGATGGAGGTACGATAGGCACGTGCAAAATTGCGTTGAATTCAACCCTTCAACGATGCTCATGTGTCGTGTTGTGTCCAACGTGATCGCCTCCTGTCTTTTTCACGAAGCAAATACTGTAGCAGCTGTAGCAGTAGAAGGGGCAGTGATGGGCAACATTGGGCAACCCAAAGTTCATTAAATTGATATTTTTCCGTGCAAGATGATGGTGTCTTTCCATCCGCCAACTAACTATTTGACGCAATCCCAGCTATCATAGCCATCTCAGGTTCGTTCGACAGACAGCTCGTGGCCCTGTGTGGGTCCCATGCGAGTTTGACATCGACAGTGAAGGACATGCACAGATCGTTGGTGGCAGCCGCTGCCACAAATATCCAGCTCTGGCTGAGAAGGCCTTTTGGTATAATGTGGGGGTAGCAGCTTGAACTTAGAGAAATAACGCAGCATGCAGTCTACCAAACGTGGCCGATCGTGGCCGTGTGAATGAGCCGAAAAACATGTTAGACATCAAAGAGCCCTCTCTGAATGTCTCTGAAACCCAATGCTGTGCACGTTCGTGTCTTTGACGGATTCAGGCCAAACCAGGGTTTGGTCGGCTTTAAAAATTTCGTGTTTTTAGGGTTTACGGATTTTGAGGCTTGGCGCTTTTAAGGTCAAAGGCTTAAAAGGACCGCGGTTCCGTAAACCTTAGAATGGTATCCCATTTAGGCTTGGGGCAAAAGAAACCACAGCAAGCATAGAAAATCCGGTAAGGCTGAGAGCGAAAAAAATGGCAAACAAAGGCTTCCACAGGGGGTCTCAGTGGGGCATGGAGCAAAAAAACAAAGTAAATACAAAAATTGCAAACAAAGGCTTAAACATCTTAAACAAGGGGTCTCAGTGGGACAGGCGGCCAAAAAAAGCGCAAACAAAGGCTTAAACAAAGAGTCTCAATGTTGCTTGGAACCAAAAAACGGCAAACAAAGACTGAAAAAGGGGGCCTCAGTGAGAGGTTGGAAAGAATTACAAACGTAGACTTAAAAAAGGGGTCTCAGTGGGGCTTGGGGCAAAAAAACAAGTTGGATCAAAATGCTTGGCATTTTGATCCATTTTGTATTTTCCAAATCATCATAAATCATCATAAATCATCATAAATCATCATAAATCATCATAAATCATCATAAATCATCATAAATCATAAATCATCAAAACATCCATTGTGGTTCCAAAATTGCCATGGCACATGGCCCTGGCCCGTGCGCAGGTGGCCACCCCAATCCTGGAAGCAGCATTGCCTTTGCTGGCGAAGCTTCGTCGGCCTCAACTGCTGTTGGATCGGCGCAGGCCGGTTTTGAGCCGCCAGGATGGGATGAGGATGAGGATATGGATTCTGCCAGCAATCAGCAATCATATATATGTATATACTGTATATGTAATTAAATATATAATGTTGTGAAATGCCTTCAGCCTACTTCTAAAGAATTTTAAACAAATAAAAAAAGCAAAAACTAATCCAAAAAAAAAGCAAAACCCAATCCAAACCTCAATTAGAAAAAAGCAAAAATTTTATGCAAAAAAAAAGCAAACTCCAATCCAAACCTCAATTAGAAAAAAGCAAAAAAAAGCAAAACCAAAAGCAAAAAAAAGCAAACTATTTGTTTTCACTTTTTTTCGCTTTTTTTTCGCTTTGTTTTTGCTGTTTTTTTTTTGCTTTGTTTTTGCTTTTTTCTCCGCCTTTGTTTTCGCTTTTTTTTTGGTTTTTTCTTTCTCAGGTGACCTGATGACCGGGACCTTCGAAAATGTAAGAAACTCGTGGAAAAAAACGGAAAAAAAGCAAAAAACAACGAAAAAAAAGCGAAAAAAAAGCGAAAAAAAAAAGCGAAAAAAAGCAAAAAAAAAAGCGGAAAAAAAAAGCGAAAAAAAAGCGAAAACAAAGCGAAAAAAAACGAAAACAAATAGTTTGCTTTTTTTTTGCTTTTGGTTTTGCTTTTTTTTTTGGCTTTTTTTTGAATTGTTTTTTTTTTGCTTTTTTCTAATTGAGGTGTGCATTTTTTTTCTTTTTTCTAATTGAGGTTTGGATTGGGTTTTGCTTTTTTTTGATTAGTTTTCGCTTTTTTTAGTTCAATTTATTTTTCTATCGTTTTATAGAAGTTGCCTGTAAGCCGTGTCACAAATAATATAATGTTACGTATATATAATGTATAATATTGTAGATATTTATTTAAAATATAACACATACATAATATACATAGACATACCATACATAGACATACATAGACATACATAGACATACATAGACATACATAGACATACATAGACATACATAGACATACATAGACATACATAGACATACATAGACATACATAGACATACATAGACATACATACATAGACATACATAGACATACATAGACATACATACATAGACATACATAGACATACATAGACATACATAGACATACATAGACATACATAGACATACATAGACATACATAGACATACATAGACATACATACATAGACATACATAGACATACATAGACATACATACATAGACATACATAGACATACATAGACATACATAGACATACATAGACATACATAGACATACATAGACATACATAGACATACATAGACATACATAGACATACATAGACATACATAGACATACATAGACAATCATAGACATACATAGACATACATACATACATACATAGACATACATAGACATACATATACATACATACATAGACATACATAGACATACATAGACATACATAGACATACATAGACATACATAGACATACATAGACATACATAGACATACATAGACATACATAGACATACATACATAGACAGACATACATAGACATACATACATAGACATACATACATAGACATACATACATACATAGACATACACAATCATACATACATAATCATACATACATAATCATACATACATAATCATACATACATAATCATACATACATCATCATACATACATTATCATACATACATCATCATACATACATCATCATACATACATCATCATACATACATCATCATATATACATAATCATATATACATAATCATACATACAAAATCATACATACAAAATCTTACATACAAAATCATACATACATAATCATACATACATAGTCATACATACATAATCATACATACATAATCATACATACATAATCATACACAACCATACATAATCATACGTAATCATACATAATCATACGTAATCATACATAATCATACGTAATCATACATAATCATACGTAATCATACGTAATCATACGTAATCATACGTAATCATACGTAATCATACGTATATAATCATACGTAATCATATGTAAGCATACATCGTCATACATCATCATACATCATCGTACATCATCATACATCATCATACATCATCATACATCATCATACATAATCATACATAATCATACATACATAATCATACATACATAATCATACATAATCATACATACATAATCATACATAAACGACCATACATAATCATACGTAATCATACATAATCATACATACATAATCATACATAATCATACATACATAATCATACACAATCATACACAATCATACATAATCATACATAATCATACATAATCATACATAATCATACATAATCATACATAATCATACATACACAATCATACATACACAATCAGACAGACACATACATACATACATACATAATCATACATAATCATACATAATCATACATAATCATACATAATCATACATACATACATACATACATACATACATACATACATACATACATACATACATACATACATAGACATACATAGGCATACATAGACATACATAGACATACATAGACATACATAGACATACATAGACATACATAGACATACATAGACATACATAGACATACATAGACATACATAGACATACATAGACATACATAGACATACATAGACATACATAGACATACATAGACAAACATAGACATACATAGACATACATAGACATACATAGACATACATAGACATACATAGACATACATAGACATACATAGACATACATAGACATACATAGACATACATACACATAGACATACATAGACATACATAGACATACATAGACATACATAGACATACATAGACATACATAGACATACATAGACATACATAGACATACATAGACATACATAGACATACATATAGACATACATATAGACATACATATAGACATACATATAGACATACATATAGACATACATATAGACATACGTATAGACATACATATAGACATACACATAGACATACACATAGACATACACATAGACATACACATAGACATACACATAGACATACACATAGACATACACATAGACATACACATAGACATACACATAGACATACATATAGACATACATATAGACATACACATAGACATACATATAGACATACATATAGACATACATATAGACATACATATAGACATACATATAGACATACATATAGACATACATATAGACATACATATAGACATACATATAGACATACATATAGACATACATATAGACATACATATAGACATACATATAGACATACATATAGACATACATATAGACATACAGATAGACATACACATAGACATACATATAGACATACATATAGACATACATATAGACATACATACATAGACATACATATATAGACATACATACATAGACATACATACATAGACATACATACATGGACATACATACATAGACATACATACATAGACATACATACATGGACATACATGGACATACATGGACATACATAGACATACATAGACATACATAGACATACATAGACATACATGGACATACATAGACATACATGGACATACATAGACATACATAGACATACATAGACATACATAGACATACATAGACATACATAGACATACATAGACATACATAGACATACATAGACATACATAGATAGACATACATATAGACATACATACATAGACATACATAGACATACATAGACATACATAGACATACATAGACATACATAGACATACATAGACATACATAGACATACATACATACATACATAGACATACATAGACATACATAGACATACATAGACATACATAGACATACATAGACATACATAGACATACATAGACATACATAGACATACATTGACATACATAGACATAGACATACATAGACATAGACATACATACATAGACATACATACATAGACATACATAGACATGCAGACATACATATAGACATACATATAGACATACATAGACATACATAGACATGCATAGACATACATAGACATGCATAGACATACATAGACATACATAGACATACATAGACATACATAGACATGCATAGACATACATAGACATGCATAGACATACATAGACATACATAGACATACATAGACATACATAGACATGCATAGACATACATAGACATACATAGACATACATAGACATACATAGACATACATAGACATACATAGACATATAGACATACATAGACATATAGACATACATAGACATACATAGACATACATAGACATACATAGACATATAGACATACATAGACATACAGACATGCATAGACATGCATAGACATACATAGACATACAGACATGCATAGACATACATAGACATACATAGACATACATAGACATGCATAGACATACATAGACATGCATAGACATACATAGACATGCAAAGACATGCAAAGACATACATAGACATACATAGACATACATAGACATACATAGACATGCAAAGACATACATAGACATGCATAGACATACATAGACATGCATAGACATACATAGACATACATAGACATACATAGACATACATAGACATACATAGACATACATAGACATACATAGACATACATAGACATACATAGACATACATAGACATACATAGACATACATAGACATACATAGACATACATAGACATACATAGACATACATAGATATACATAGACATACATAGACATACATAGACATACATAGACATACATAGACATACATAGACATACATAGACATACATAGACATACATAGACATACATAGACATACATAGACATACATAGACAGACATACATACATACATACATACATACATAGACATACATAGACATACATAGACATACATAGACATACATAGACATACATACCTGCATAGACATACATACCTACATAGACATACATACCTACATAGACATACATCCTACATAGACATACATACATACATAGACACACATACATACATAAACATACATACACATACATACACATACTATTGCTGGTATCTGAGACCCCACAGTTTGGAACATTCTGAAAGAATTTTCCTAAACTTTCAAGCCCTTTGTGATGTCACCGGCAGGTTCCTCCGCAACCTAGTACTTAGTTGCAATCTATTGCTGGTATCTGTTCGAATGCAGATGCACCGGTAGGGAAAGTGCCCATGTGCCAAAAGAAGTGACGGAATCTCCTGGTGAGGAAGCCTTTCACAGAAGCATACTCAAGACACAACCACGTCAGAAGTGCTAGTTGGAACAACCCGTTACATTCAATTCATGTTCCTTGGTTGTATCCTGGGAGCCTCGTCTAGAACGAGCAGGAATTCAGCAGTCCACCAGAGCGGACTGGCTGATCTTGCTGGATAGGATGATAACTGGTGAAATTTACGGTAGTGAAACGACATGATTATACATAGTTCATTAATGCTACAGCCACCATTAAGGCTCCAGATTGTCTTCAAGGCCCAAAGACCCTTGGCAACAGCAGCAGCAGCAGCGCCCCCTGCTGCAGACAATTAACCTTTTTCATGACCCACATTGAACAGAAAAGTGTGTGATCATTGAAGCCGTGTCATCAGTCCCCCTCCTTCAGGCGAGTGGCATGAGGAGCCAATCTGTTGGACTTTTCGGCGCATTTTTCACCCCCAGAGTCTATCCAGTAGTTAGGAGCCAAGGAGGTGGTAGGGTATTCATCTTCATCCGTATTCCCTGTAAATGGATGTAAATGGGGAGTCAAGGAGTCAAGCAGCTACGACTTGAGTTTCCCAAGCAAGGAATCATTCTGCCGCCCAAAGTTCACGAAGACGATGAACCTGAATATATTGGAATGTGGCATGTGGATGGGCATCGGGAAGATGTGGCAGCTGTGGTCCTGCACCCTGGATACATTAAAAAAACCTCGAAGGGCTCCATAGATGCGGGTGATGTTAAATGATAGTTATGGTTCCCTGGTTTTAAATTTTGACCAACGCACACTCACGCGCACATACACACACACACACGCGTTCGCACACGCACACGCGTGTTTTATTTTTCTTGTGATAGCAGCTTGCATCAAGGCTTTATGAGGCAACAAAGGTTTACCTCCTTTCGACGTATGACATCTACGACGACTGATTCAACAGTTGCCAGCCAAATGCAATTCCAGAAGCAGCGAAAACGCTTGGCCTATCTTGCGATGTGGAATTGATTTGGTGTTGAATTGCGGGCCGCTTGGTCATCCCAGAATCGGAGGGTAGGACAATTTACGGGCACATCCCATATTTAGTGGTAAAAATAACATAGTTTCAACATGTTTCAACATGTTTCAGCATGTTTCAACATGTTTCAACCGCAAATGTTCCCTTGAACCTCTCGGTTGAATTGTTGAATTTGAGGTATTACTATCATGTGGATCCAGCTCTTGAAGGTGGTGATATGGAGCTGTGCGGCCGCGAGCCCTTTGATATTTTAGCCATGGCAGACGCTGGTGACAACTCCTTCGAGTTCGACCATCGGCGCTTGAAGGAAGCGCTCAGTGGGGAGAAGCAACGGTTACCACACTGCCGTGTTCCCATCCAAGCAGGTGGACTGGGGATGACTGGGGATGACTGGGGCGGGCCCCATGCTTTCCAACATAGCAACCATCACGGGGCAGGTCGCAGGTCGCTAGAGTCATGAAGCCAACAAGGACTTGACTCAGAAAATCCTTTGCTGAGATTGGGCACATTGTCGTGCGGGGGCATGGGAGGAACCTTGCTGGTGTTCTCCAATCATCAGATGGTGCATCGGGTCCTTCGCATGATCAACAATGGCAAGTCTGAGGCAGGTGCAAACCATGGCAAGTCCTTCCCGCTTTCGAATTTGCTTAAATTATCATAAATTGCCATCATAGTCTTCAATAGAAGCTTTGTCGCATTGCTCGTACAATTTGAATTGGGTTGCCATGGATTGCCTTCTATTGCCTTCTCCTGCTGTTCAGTTTATTGGGTTTTCGTTGCACTGTCCAATGGCTCGGCAGGCTTCCAGGGACTCTGTGGCTTTGTTCATCCTGAATCCCGCCAGCGAAGCACTGGTTCCAGCGAGGTGTGCCCTTGCAAAACCCTACATGCTCACAAGGGTGTTGAGACTAAAAGCCTTGACGCCAGACAACATCCAGGCGCTGCTGCATGTTTGGTGAGTTTACAACATTGTGCTACATGTGTCAACCATTTTCAAACGCAAAAGTACTGCAGGCACTCTTAGACTCTTGCTGCCTCCTTTAATTGCTTGGAAAGACAAGCGTCAGAGTACGGCCGGTGTACCTTTCATTGTGGAGACGTTCAATCCGTGTTGCTAATCCCTAGCCTTCCCTCCTCCTATAAACCGTATACTTGCGTACACTATATCCATAGATATCCATAGATATCCTCCAGAAACCAGGGAATACATCACAGCAAGGGGAACACAGCATAATATTGCAAATTCTGAGAACGTGCTGACGTGCTCCCTGCACACTGGTCTGCCTGGTTTACAAGGCTATTCTGTCGCTGGCGGGCTTTCTACCGACAGATGATGAGTCAAAGAGTTTGCGCAATGCGATGTTGTTGGAGCAACTCGAACCGACTGGTGAATTTGCAACTTGCCGGCACTGGAGGAGATTATACAATATTATACACAGATAAGACTCATGGGCAGGGCCATGTCAAAACTCCTACTATTTCTTATAGACTTGTAATGTCTCCATGAATGTGTCGTCCTCTTTCCATGGGCTGAATGCATGGACAGCGTTTGATATTGATATATTGTGAATTGTGAAATATATTGTGATATATTGTGATACTTATTGTTACACAGATTCTGTGGTGTTCGTTCCAGACTGAGCCCACTCTGGTTGGTTGAATGAGGAGGTGCTATCTTTATAGCAGATGAGATCACTTCTGGATACTTGTTGGTATCTTGTTGGTACTGGAGTATATAATTCAACGAATCAGCCTGGGTTTATAGTATTCATCCTGGGTTCTCACTAGTGATTCCTGTGTCAAGGCAAGCCGGGGCAATGTGGTGCGCGCGACCGGCAACGGGTGTCTGACCATGGTAGGTTGGCTCCACCACATGCTGCAAGATTCAAGACATGGCGGCGACGGCGATTTTTTCAGTTCCTTCTGTGATGGATGGTATCATTTCAGATTCTTGTCGTATGAAGTGTTTACATGTCTTATGAACGATTTTTGACTCATTGTTTAATCATATTTAATCGTTGGCTTTGTCTCCAGTCGGAGTATTCCCAAGAAAAAGGAATTATTTGCAGGACTTCTTTAAAGTAACATGCATTAACAATACTGTCCGAACAGAGCAGTTATTTTTTGCACACCGTGAACCGTTCACCCGAAGGGCAGATTTGGAAAGAGACTTCTGTCGAAGCAACTTGTGACTTAGGAGCTCTTAACCGGCTTCCACAAAAGCAGCTTGGATACTTTTGATCCGGATGGGTTGACCTTGGGAATTGGCCAACCCCCAAAAGATGTTAGTTCTCTCATTTTCTCTCCTTGTGGAGTTGCATGAATTTGGAGCGCAAGTTAAAGCGATGTCAACACACCTTGGCACGGCTGATCCCCTAGCTGCACTGATAGAGCCTCCCCGTGCAACATCTTCGAACACTTGGCTTCAACCTGCGGCATAGCCAGCAGAAACTGTACGTAGAAAATAAACCTGTGGTAATTGACATGTGCATTTTTCACCGGCTGCATACTGTGGACTATTGACTGTTACTATCATCTTCATAACTTACGCTGGGCACAATCTCGAGTTGCTCCGGTCTTTGACCTTGTCATCATAGCATCCTGCTTTGCAAATGTGAGTGCTATCCTTGAGGACGCCAGTCAATGTTTCAAAAAGCCAGGTGCTGTCTAGGAGAAAAGAACCAAGTGCTACTGGCATTTAGCCCACTTTGGCTACTGCCCATATCATAGCCCTACTTCCAATTTAGCTACTGGAGTAGGCTCCGTCAAGGTTATGGTTGCTCTGAGTTTGTAAAGACAACATAATGACCTTCACTTCACAAAGCAACCAGACAGCACACACACCCACACACATACACCAACGGACATACATACAGAATAATACACATCCACGTGGTTGCACAATGACTAATGAACTAGGTCATCATACTTCCGTACATAACTCATCTAGATGGGTGCGGGCCGCGGCCGCATCCAGCAGCATACCAGGCAGGGCCGTGGGATGTCAGAGATCTTTTCCCTCCCAACCGAAGAACCTTGGCAGCAATGTGTGTCTTAAACCAAGCGGTTTGAAGGGTCATTGTGTAGGAAAATGGTGAGAGGAACAACATGGAAAGATATGGAAAGACATCCATAAGAGTCACTTACTCCAACTTCATCTGAAGTCCATAAATAAAGACATGCTGAGAGGCTCAGTAAGTGGCTAGGCCTTTGCTGTGTTTGGATCATTTTTTTAATGTTTAGATTTTTTTAGATAGGTACAAGAGTCACGTACAAGTTGCGGTACAAGAGCTTCAAGGTCATATTGATGAGCCCTGTCGGCCCAGTTTGATTCCCATTTGCGTTGCGTGCCCGAGGAATTGCGGAGGGATGAAAGACCACCGTTGTTTCCGTTCTAGTGGCCAATTTCAAGGAGGTTGCATGGCATTACAACAGGATAAGCAGTGATGGAAATATTTAATGACAATGATGCATCAAGATTGTTTGCATATGTTTGCATGCTAAGATGGACGTGTGAAGGTGGAAGCCCGGAGCATCAGAACTAGTTTGTCTGTACTTTGTTTGATTCTTCAAACTTCATTTACTTCTTCCAGGCTTGGACAGACTTGGACAGGTCAACTTCCTGTGATTTGGGTGCAGCCGGTCCAGTGGGCCCCTGCCCGCTCAGCTGTTGGTGGTTTGATGTGGCTGCAGTGCCAGCATGGTTTGCACATGTACAGATTCGCAGCCTTTGGTTGAAACAAAAGCGACAGCTGACGAGAACCCGATGATGGCGGATGGTTGTTGTTGTTGCTGCTCGGGTGATGTAATGTGATTCCCCGGGTTTAGGACACTAGACGACGTTGAAGGACTATCAAACACCAGTTGAAAAAATAGCAAAGAGCCATGAATTGATATGATTTGCAGTTGAAGTGGACCCCCCAATTAAACATCCAGGGGTCAACAAAGGTTGATATCATGTGCCGGCCCTGGTATGCAGTCAACCATCGGAAGCCACGTCAGGCCAATGGCGAGAACGTGACCCAGCTAAAGATGGCTGCTTTATCCTTTGCCGCCATGTTGAAAGTAGCAGATTGATGCTTGCAAAGATATGGAAAGACATGGAGAGCCCATAGATCTTAGATTACCAGACTATTGTTGCCAGACCATATGATAGTGATATATATATATATATCTATCTATCTATATATATATATATATCTATATATATCTATATATATATATCTATATATATATATCCCGTTCCTGATTGATGATGGAAAAGATATGTTAGAAAGGTGTTGTGATTGGTCCAGGGGCTAGAGCATTTGCTGGAAAAAATGTAGACTTGATCATCCTACGCGTCATGGGCCTTCAAGTGTTGGCATCGTCATAGGCATTCCTTCGCGATCGTTCGCGTTCCATGACATGATTTCAAGTGAAGTTCACCGCAAAAAAGGAACTGTACGTATGACGTGGACAGTTTGTCAAGATGTTCTCAAGACATCTCGGAGTAGCCACCAGCAGAGTAGCTGGCTAAAGTCTGTACGTCGTTCGTGGTCCGGTGGTAATATGCGCTCGCAGGGAAATCCTTCAAGAACTAAGCTTTTTGCTTTTGCCGGCATAATTATTGCTTTTAAAGTGTCAGGAGACTAATTCTGTGAAATAGTTTGAGTGGCAATTCTAGGCTTGAAGCCGAAGCTTCAACCAACTCATTCATATCGTGGAGCTTTAGACATTTTCTCCATGCCAGCAGCGAAAACCCATGCTCTTGAGAGTGTATCGCCATCGCTGATGACTGGACGATCTGTTTCCAACTTGGTTGAATTTCCCGTTGCTTTGAGGTTGAAGTGAAGTATGAAAAGGATGACGCCACCTATTTAGGAGCCGTTGTCGAGAACTGTTGAGGAATCCTGCAAAACTGGAAACAGAGTGAGAGAAACCGAAATAAACAGAATAGGTTCAGATAGGTTCCCATGGTTTCCTATCATTTTCATTCATTTTCCATCATTTTCCCATGTATTGTCCTGATTTAGACTTGGAATTTGAATGAATTTGAGTAATTTGAGTGCATCCTTCATTTTCAAATCAAACCCACATGGCAAATAAAAGCCACAGGAGGAATCGTGGATGGAAAACGTGAAGGATATGGTGCCCTTAGCTGCGCTCGGAGCGGAAAATGATGAGAATATCCTACCAGGGGTTTAACTACAATTATTAGAAAAAATCTGCATAAATCTGAGATATCGTATATCTTCTGTAATGTAGGATTTCTTATTGGCACATGGGCAACTGACGGCAATGACAGCCATTTGGATGCTGCTTGTGTCGGTTTACGATGCCTACCTGGGATCCGTGGGCACCCAACAGTTTAGAGGGGGCTATGGCTGTCGCTGAGGTGTCTACAAGAGCAACATTGAAACGTACGAAGGACAGTGGAAGAACGCACCGGGCTCAGAGGGCTCAACGTTAGATCGGCGAATGGACTTTTCATCCAGGAATCCAGTGCAACTCAGTGGGATATTTGGAGATTCTTTATGGTTCTGGACTTTAGATTAATGGATTACTGATTATGACAGTCTCAATCAGTCTCATAAGATCTCATAAGGCAATGTGGAGGAGTCCACCGCCTCAAAGCATCAGATTCGGGGCCTCACATTGCCTGAGGACAAACAGCATGGCAATGGAAAACACTCGTGGAACGATGGGCGTTCCTATGAAGGTCAGTATTTGACTCTTGGCGTGGCAGAACATGTCAGAGTCAGAGGACTTCTTCGAATCATCTATGTTATGTATGTATATCATTTCCATAGGATTCCATGCATATATCTTCACGCAGCACCGAATTCATGAGATGTGAGATGTGCCGGGTCACGGCAACTCGTCATGGCTCACTTTCATGGGAATCAACCAGCTACACTTAGGCAGACCTCACCGATTGAGGGGTACTTGAATCAGGGGGGGGTCCTTTTTAAGGGGGGGCTTCTTTAAGGGGGAGAGGCTTTTTTAAAAGGGGGAGAGGAGGCTGCTTCTTTCCCAATTTCTTTGGGGGGGAGGCTATTTGAACAAAGGGGTCGGGTTCTGTTAAGAGGGGGGGTCCTTTAAGTGGGGGGCTTCTTTTAAAAGAGGAGGAAGGCTGCTTCTTTATGGGAGGGGGTGGTCCTCCAAGGGGAGTTCAGTAATGTTCAGTCGTAGTCGTAACAGTAGTCGTCGTCGTAGGCGGGTGGGTAAAGCGTTCCTAGTCCCTTCCTCATTGGGTGGGGGAGAGGAGGAGGAGGAGATGGAGGAGGAGGAGGAGGAGGAGGAGGAGAGGGTTGGACGAGGAACCGGATGGGGGGGGAACCTTTTTAAGGGGGGGACTGCTTCTTGAGGAAGGGGGTGGGGCTTTTTGAATGGGGGGGCTGCTTCTTTAGGGGAGGAGGAGGAGTAGGAGTAGGAGTAGGAGTAGGAGTAGTAGTAGTAGTAGTAGTGGTCGTGGTCGTGGTCGTGGTCGTCGTCGTCGTCAACGAAGCCCTCTCCTCCAGTGTAGCTGGAAGAAGCCCCCCGCCTCCTTCTTCGAAAAAAAAACATTGTTTCCTGCCGCCCCCTTCTGCTTCTTCGAAGGCCACCTTCCTCTCTCGTATGCTTGCAAGAAGCCACCCCCCTTCTTCCCTTCTTTGCCCTCCCTACTTCAAAGCAGCCCCCCCTCCCAGTTCAAAGAAGAAGCCCCCCCTCCCTTTTCAACACCCCCCCGTTCTTCGAACATGCACCTCCCCCCTACTTCAAAGCACCCCCCCTAGTTCAAAGAAGAAGCCCCCTCCCCCCCTTTTCAACCCCCCCTTCTTCTGCTTCGGGGGGGAGGGGGGCCATGGCCCCGCCTCACTAAATGACATCCCCCTCCAAAGAAGCCCCCCCTTCAACAAGTAGGGGACCTCTACCCTATCGGGCCGGTCTCCACTTAGGTCAGTGTCCAGTGGATGTGATTTCGAAATACTTCTTGCAGCTAAGGCTGTTTACATCTCTTCATCCAAATATATATATCCAAATGTCAAATTTCAAATTTGTCAAGATCTATGCAGCCAGGAAAGTGTTCACATCCTGAAGCAGTTTCGTAACATCGGTCGGAAGTCCATCGTTGCTTTGCTCACAGCACTTGAGTAGCAGGGATTTTAAGATGCCAAGGAATGGGCGATTCTCTGGAAAGGGCAAGATGGCGGCTCGGCAAGATTCCAGCTAAGAGCAGAACGATACGTCATGATACGTCCCTGTTTGTGGATCTGTGACAGTTGAGTTTTGGCACGGCCCAAGACTTTCAGTTGTTCCTGAAGAACTTGAAGGTCGCCCTGAGGTGGGTAGGTATGTGCATTCATCCTTTGGGCTGTGCAAAGGTCTGGACAACCGACAAGGCCAGTCTGAAGCTGTGCCCTGGTGGTCATGCTCGAAGAGTTGAAGTTAGTTGAAAACAGATTATTTCTGTTCACCTTTCAGCGGGGGCACATTCTCAGAGGTGTCAGCTCGTTCTATTCAGCCCCTTCAAATCTGATTTGTTGAATCTGTTCCTTGCAGGGAATCATGACCTACGAAGGACGCCTGCTCCGCCACATTTGCCTCTCAGGGATGGCAGTGCTCTTCCTAAGAATGGTACTTGACATTACTTGACTGTATTGGCCATATTTGGCTATGCTATACTGGTTTCATCTTATTTGATATCCATTGATACCCCTTTCAGAGATGGTTCAACCTGTCGCTTTTTCAAAATCCCTTGCGACAGCGCGGCCCCTTCTCAGGAGACTACCTGGATGATGCCAAGCACGGATTTGGCAAGTTTACCTGGCCAAACATGAACGTACGAAGGCCCAGTGACATCTGTTAAAACATATTGAAAATACATGAACGTACATGAACATACCACCCATAGAGAGAGATATAGAGAGTTACTGTGGTTTCCACAACGTGCAAATGCATCTAAAATGAAGAGCCGATCAGATCTACACCCCGGAGATGGGTCAAAACCTTTAAAACCAAGAACTACTATGACTATGACTACTATTAACTAACACGCACACACACACACAGCGGCGCATGGCTGAGGTCTATGAGGGTGGCTGGCAGACCGGAAAGCGCCATGGCAAGGCAACGTTCACTACGTGGCTGACTCAGAAGATTACTTGGGCAGTTGCGGTGATAAAACGGGATTTTTATATATATATATATATTTATTTATTTATTATTTATTTATCAGTTTGAAATCTTATAACTATAGTTGTATACGGTTATATCCCAACCTATGGAGGTTATCACCATGCTTATTGGATTTTATTGGTTAATATACCCATTTATAACCTCAACTGCCCCCCAGAGTAGAACACATACATCACAAAGGCAGTGGCGTGGCATTTCCGATGATGGACATTGGTTTGTTCGAACATGGGCTACCCTAAATTTCGATGGCTGGTCATGAATCTCCCCATAAAAATGACATTTTTTAGGGTATACCATGGTATACCCCATTTTTCGACACACCACATTTTTCGACACACCCCTGTACGATAGTGAGGCACCAAGGGAAGCAGAAGGCCGCCTTGATCCGCAGTGATTTTGCGGGCCGGAGAACAACATTTGAAACTGTCTAGAATTCAAGGGTGCTTGTATGTGGATATGATCGGGTAAGATTTGGTATGATTGGGTATTGATTTGGTATGATTGGGTAGGGTAGAGGTCAAAATGAGCAAACTTCCAAAAGATTAGCCACTTCGTGGGCCTTTTGGTGCCTGCATGTGCTCCCATTCCAAGACCCATACCCATATGACCTCATGTCTTGTATCATGGATTCACAGCAGGTGGGATTCTGGCAAGAGGACAAGTTCGTGCGATGGGAAGCGGAGGAGAACGCTGTGGCCGGATGAGGGTGAGCCATTGCATCCAGCGGCAAAGCCAACAGATGCAGCGGTTTCACTCAGTGCGAGCCTGACTCTGGAATTGATCAGAGACAGTGAACACTGTCTTTCAGTGAGATTTAAGAAGCGTGTGATCATCCATGACACCCCTGGATTTATTAAAAGCTCCAGTTGCGCAGCTACTTTTCATGAGGGGTTCACAAATTTATGGCGACAGCATATTGAATATTCATAATTTTAATCTTTGTTGCGTTTCTTCTCCAATTGTCAATACGCCTCTACAGAGTATGATCATGAAAAACAACAACACAAGCACACATTGTATATATTGATATTTATTTATATATATATGTGTGTAAATATACAAGTAGTACCCGGGCAAGCCAGGGGCGGAAGTTTCAAATTTGAAACGCTTATAGCCCATAGAGCGGAGCAAAGGCTGTGCCTATAGGTGACAGGCAAGCCTCCCGTGCTTCGCAGCAACAATCTCTTGACTTTCAATCTGATGCCATGTCTTTCGAATGTTGAATCTTTTCTCATTTCATTTGATCTCTTCGCATCGCAGCTTCTCTTGGAAATTGCTCACTGCATCCCATTGTCACCGCAGTCTGTGTCATCCCATCTCATCTCCTGTCTCAGCTTTTTCACCGCATCTCACCTCATCCCATCTCATGTCTTCTCTCCCATTCTCAGTTCTTCTCCGCTGATCACAACTGTTCTCATCGCTTCTCATGTCACCTGAGCTTCTCTCGTCTCTTCTCATCTCATCTCACCTCAGCTTTTCAGATTTTCACAGCTCTTCTCGACTCTTCTCAGCTCTCCGCAGCTCATCTAAGCTCATGTAAGCTCATCTTAGGTGTTCTCATCTCTTCTCTCCTCTTCTCACATCTTCTGAGCTCTTCTCACATCTACTCAACTGATCTCAGCTCTTGTCAGCTCGTCTCACCTCATCTCAGCTCTTCTCAGCGCACTCTCAAATCATCTCACCTTTTCTCTGGCCCAAAGCCTGCTCTAAAAACGGATCTTGGCGCCAAAGCAAGCAACCCCTACGCTTTCCACAGGGAAGATTTGACACAGAGAAGCTTTTACACAGAGTTAGGGAAGCTTTTATTCACAGCACGCTTTTCCACAAAGCAAGCTTTTGCGCACAGAAAGCTTTTACCCGAAAATCCCTACACACACAAGCTTGTACACAGAGAAGCCTTTACACAGAGAAGCTTCTACACACAGCAAGCTTTGACACAAAGAAGCTCCTACACAGAAAAGCTTTTACACACAGAAAACCTTTACACACAGAAGCTTTTACACAAAGAAGCCTTTACACAGCTTTTACACACAGAAGCCTTTACACAGCTTTTACACACAGCAAGCCATCACGCAGAGAAGCTTTTACACACAGAAAGCTTTTACGCAGCGAAGCTTTTACACACAGCAAGCTTTCACACAGAGAATCTTTTACACACAGAAGCTTTTACACACAGCAAACTTTTACACACAGAAGCTTTTACACACAGCAAGCTTTTACAGAGAGAAGCTTTTACACGCAGAAGCCTTTTCACAGAGAAGCATTTACACACAGCTTTTACACAGAAGCTATTACACACAGCAAACTTTTACAGAGAGAAACTTTTACACAGAGAAGCTTTTGCACACAGAAGCTTTTACACACAGCAAACTTTTAAACAGAGAAGCTTTTAAACAGAGAAGCTTTTGCACACAGAAGCTTTTGCACACAGCAAGCTTTCACACAGTGAAGCCCTTACACAGGAGAAGCATTTACACGGAGAAGCTTTCACAGACAGCAAACTTTTTTTACACACAGAAGCTTTTACACACAGCCAGCTTTTACACAGGGAACCTTTTTCACAAAGAAGCGTTTATACTGAGAAGCTTTTACACAGAGAAGATTTTACACAGCAAGCCAGCAAGCTTTTAAACTGCGAAATCTGCTGACAAATCACTATCGCAGCCTTGATGCAGCCGCACCAATACGATTAACGATGTCCAGCTGCAGGAGACAATAGTACTACGCACACATCTGCGGCTCCAAGCAACCTTGACGCAACAATATATGACAATGCGATTTACAAAGGCTGAGTTGCAAAACTCAGTAGAACAACGCGCAGCGGCGTCAGAAATTTTCAGCTCCAAAACCGGATCTCGACCCCAAAGCGAAAAAAAAATGACGATCTTGAAGCACTTTTTAATAGGAATCTTTAAAGGAATTCACCAGCGCCAACAGCCTTGTTGCAGCCACTCCAATACGACTTACGACGTCCAGCTGCAAAAGACAATAGTACTTCGCACACATCCGCGCCTCCAAGCAACCTTGACGCAACAATATATTAAAATGGGATTTGCGAAGGCTGAGTTGCCAAACACACTAGAACTACGCGCAACGGTGTCAGAAATTGTAGCTCCAAAACCGGATCTCGACGCCGAAGCAAAAAAAGACGATTCTGAAGCACTTTTTCAAAGGAATTTGGAAAGGAAAATCACCAGCGCCAAAATTGAGAAATTCTGCTGACAAATCACTATCGCAGCCTTGATGCAGCCACTCCAATATGATGAATTATGATGTACGATGTCCAGCTGCAAAAGACAACAGTATTACGTATTACGCACGCAGCCGCCGTGCCAAGCACCTTTGACGAAGCCATTACAATGCGAGACTTCCGTCAAATTCCGGCAGTTGAAGATGTGAAAACGAAGCTTTCGTGCGAGACTTTCCTCAAAATCTGAAAGAGGATGAAAGAGGTGGATGCGAAAACGAAGCTTTCGTGCGAGACAATGCGAGACTTGCCTCAAAACCTTACAGTGGAAGATGTGAAAACGAAGCTTTCGTGCGAGACCTCTCTCAAAAAGTGAACGTGGAAGATGTGAAAACGAAGCTTTCGTGCGAGACTTCCTTCAAAATCTGAAAGTTGAAGATGTGAAAACGAAGCTTTCGTGCGAGACATCCCTCAAAAAGTGAAAGTGGAAGATGTGAACATGAAGCTTTTGTGCTAGACCTCCTTCAAAGTCTGAAAGTTGAAGATGTGAAAACGAAGCTTTCGTGTGAGACATCCCTCAAAATCTGAACGCTGAAGATGTGAAAACGAAGCTTTCGTGCGAGACTTCCTTTAAATTCTGAAACTGGAAGCTTTTGTGCCATGCCATGTCATTCCATTCCATTCCATCCATCATTCCATTCCAATCCAGTCCATACCATCCCAATCCATTCCAGTATATTCCATTCCATTCCAATCCAATACATTCCATTCCATTCCAATCCATTTCATTCCACTCCAATCCATTCCATTCCGTTCCGTTCCGTTCCGTTCCATTCCATTCATTTTTGGCCATCATACATATCCGTAACACGGAAGTTCCTCCGTCCAAACTTCCTTTGATTTTTTCTATAGTATATGGTAACGGCATTTATATATGTGGAGTGCGGGTCAGACCGCGAGGCCCCGGAGGTAGTATGAAATACCAGTTTGTATATTTAAATGTAGTTGCAGTATGTTTAAATATGTTTAGATGAATTGGATTCCGTATGTTTAAGTGGCTGGGCGGGCCAAGGAAAACCTTCCCGGAGTTAAAATACCTGTTCGTAGATTGAAAACCCCGTATATTCAAATGTAGTTACCGTACTACTACTACTACTACTACTACCACCACTACTCCTCCTCCTCCTGCTGCTGCTGCTGCTGCTAGTGCTACTAGTGCTACTACTACTACTACTACTACTACTGCTACTGCTACTGCTACTGCTACTGCTACTGCTACTGCTACTGCTACTGCTTCTACACACACACACTCTATGTATATATATATATATATACACATGATTAGACATTTGTTATAAGTTGCCTGGGGGGTTACTACTTCAGGGTTGACCATGGACGCATTCAGATGCAAGTCTCACCCCGGCGCCCGGGCCAAGTTGCTGAAACTTCAAGCGGATCCAAGTGATTTGTGGTAGATTTTGATAGATTTTGTAGATAATTTCGCTACATCTTATTGTATCTGGAAATATCAAAATCTTCTCATTCCTTATATCCTTGAAACATTTTACCATATCCTAAGCTCTGGAAACCAACGCAATCGAACTGAGGTCCTATCTTATTGTTCCATTCTAACAGTGTGTTCAAAACACAACAAACCTTTGAATCTTGCATGCATTTGTTTCACCTTGTCGCCGAGGATATTTTTTTGGCAATGTGCCTTGACTTGGCCCGCAGAAAATCAGTACAACTGTCTCACGACTTGTTTCACTCCGATAGATGCAGCAACCTGATGGCCATTGGTCATTGGGCCATGGCAATGGCTGAGTGCCTGCGGCCTTAGCATCCCAGTTCATGCCATTCATCCATTCCGTCTTGGAAGATGTTTGCAGAACTGCTTTGAAATTTGAATTCCAATGAATTTAATATGGCTGAAGGAACTCCAGCTCATCCCTTATGATGTGTGGCCAGGTTTGCTAAATGTGTGCCCCAAAGATTGGCCGTTTTGAACTGCTACGACCTGTTAAACCTGACAACAACCGCCACTGGCTTGTCTGAAAGTAGGCTACCCCAAAATTTGATGTAATAATATTAAAACATAATTTTCCTTATTGACATTGCTATTTCGGGCATAGATTTCCAGACATCTCCATGTCGTATAACATCTACTTGTGAATTTGGTGCCACCAAATCAGTGCGAACTCAGTGATTGCCAGGAAGTCATCGGGAACATCATTTACATTTGGGACTTGCCTGCATCGCCCGTTGCATTTGGGCTTTTGTGGTGCATCGGCACTATTCATTCGGGTCCACAGGGCCCTTGAGCATTACCAATCATATGGCAACGCAGAGAAAACAGAAGTGCTTGCTTTGCACGTTGCACTTGTTCATTTCCAGTTGTGTTCAACACTTCGAGCGGTTGAAACACGAAGATCACTTTCCATATCTTCACATTGGCTGCGGAGCCTACGAAGCTCCTGCTCCATACCCTGTGCTGTAGCCATGTCGCAATCTCCGAAGAGACCTACGGCATCGGGCTCAGCACCTTCTGGTAGCGAATCACAGTATGTCAAAGACAACTTCGTGCCTCGCTTTGACAACACCTTGACCGGGTACAAGGAGTGGAGAAAGCGTGTGGTTTTGTATTCCAGACGCTTGGCGATCCAGGGCAGGGCAAAAGAAGTCGGAATGAATGTCTTAGCGATCCTAGAAGGCTCCAGCTGGACACAGTGTGAGGACATAGACTTGAAAGAACTCGAAGATGAAAACGGTTTAGATGTCCTTTTAGCACGTTTAGACAAACAGTGGCAGTATGATGACCGAGTGGAAACTAGCAACATTTTCGACACCTTTTTCTTCAAGGTTCAACGGAAGACTGGCCAAACTCTCATGGAGTATGTCACAGAGTTTCATCAAGCCTTGAGGGAAGTCTCACGTCTGAAGGTGTCTTTGCCTGATGAGATCACAGGCTGGCTGCTTCTGAGGCGTGCCGCACTCACCAAGGATCAGCAGCATCTTGTGCAAACTCAGGTCGGCAGAAACCTCACCCTGAAGAATGTCGAGCAGAGCATGTATCAGGTGTTCGGCCAGGACTACAGGCAGACCTACTTGCCCAACACCAACAAGGCCAAGGGCTTTGCGAAGGGCAAGGGCCGTCAACATATCATGCATGCTGATGATTCATATGATGATGGGAGTGAATGGCAAGAATACTATGAGACCGACGAGGTCTACTGGGATGCAGCTGGCGAGTCACCTGACCATGAAGAATACCATGATCCAAATGATGAGACGTGGGATGATACCTACTATGAGACTGAGGAGTCCTACCAGGATGAATCGCTCTTTGACATCCAAGAGTATGATGAGGCCTACACGGCCTACACCGATGCCAAGCAGCGCATACAGCAGCTTCGTCAGGCCAGAGGCTTTTATCCAGTTGTGGCTCTCATGGACAACAAGCAGATGCCTCTTGCTGCGTCAGGCGCTGGAAGTCCGAAAGGCAAGGGCAAAAAGTCAAAGAAACCCACCGAAGCTCCACCGTATGCTAAGGGTAAGGGTCCTAAGGCTAGAGCCAAGTCTTTCTTTGGCAAAGATGTTTGTTTGCGTTGTGGCAAAACTGGCCATCGAGCGGCCAACTGCACTCAACCCTCGAGCTCTTCGGCATCGGGCTCCAGCAAGAAGCGTGTCATTGATCTTGATCCCATGGTGAACATGGTCTTCCATCAGCAGTCTTCTTCATCTGGCGAGACTGATGAGTTCTTTGAGACTGAAGAGGCCTACGCACAGGGCGAAGCACTGGTGCGAGCTGGTGGCTGGATCACCAAGGAGGCGGACATGTGCATCCAAGATCAGGGCGCATCTTCTTTCTTGGCTGGCAGCGAGTACATCCTGCGGTATCTCAAGTGGCTGGAGATCAAAGGGTATCCTATGGATGACATTGTCTTCAAGCGCTGTGACAAGTCTTTCAGATTTGGGGGTGACGCCGAAGGACACTCACGATGGATGGTCGAGCTCCCCGTCTTCATCTCCAACACGCCTGGGCGCATGCAATGTTTTGTCATTTTTGGGGCAACTCCAATGCTCTTGGGTCGTCCAGTGTTGGAACAGCTTGGAGCGGTGGTGGACTTTGGAACTGGGAAAATGAGGATCCTGGGCGGTCAATGGACCAACATCAAGCGTGGGAAGCAGGACGCAATGCTTCTCAAGCTGGCTGACAATGTGCAGAATATCTCCGATTTCAGAGATCCTCGGTTTGATTTGCGAGCCAAAGATGATGATCACTCCAAATCTGAGCACCTACGAGATTTTCTGACAGATCTCCGAGCCGAAAGTCGATACGACGAGATGCAGTCCGAGGTTCAGTTCGCCGAAGATCCTGATGATGAGGTTTTCTATGAAGTTGAAAGCTACATCAACGTGGAGGACGACGCCTCTGACGAGATCTTCAGCAAGGATGAAGTGGTCGAACGAGACCAATGTGCGATGACCAAGACATGGGTCTGGATGCAGGGCCAACTGACTGCAACCAATCGTCGCACAGCAGCTCTGGCGAATGAAGCTCGAGATCCTGCTCAACCCAGGAAGAAGCTCATTTGGGAGGTCTACAGTGGCACAGGTCGTCTTGGCGAAATGGCTGAACTCATGGGTGCCGAAGTCATGCGATTTGGGCTTCACAACGGCTGGGACTTTACCAAGTCATCTCATCGGCGCCAGCTCTTGCAAATGGCTGATGAACTTGAACCTGATGAGATCTACATGTCTCCAAAATGCACCTTGTGGAGCCAGATGCAAGCCATCAACATCCACAACGATGCGGATTGGCAGGACCTTCAAGAGCGACGGCACTATGATCATGAAGTTCACCTCAAATTTTGTCGAAAGCTTTACCTTCGACAAGTGCGTCGAGGAGCCCATGCCCATGTAGAACATCCCAAGGGCAGCCTGGCCTGGGAAACACCAGCCTTGAACAACCTTCCAGGCGAACGAACAGCCTTCGATCAGTGCTCCTACGGCACCTCTCTCAAGATCGACAACGAGGATTGGCTCGTGAAGAAACCGACATCAATTCACACAACGAAGCGAGCCATGTGCAAGATCATGTCACGACTTTGCACTGGCGATCATCAACATGCAAAGCTCGAAGGTGGGAATCGATGCAAGAAGACCGAGAACTACCAAGCAGAGCTTTCCTGGCGCATTGCCAGGGCTCTCATGCATGACGAAGGACTGTCTGAACAGGCTTACGCAGTTCAACAAGATCAAGAAGTACAAGAGCTTACTGGCATTCTGCGGAAGCTTGGCACTCAACACAGCCACGAAGCTATCAGACTGGCCTACAAGCTCCATCGAAATCTTGGACACCCACGGAAGGAAACTCTTGTCAAGATGTTGCAGGCCAAGAAGTGCAGTCCCAAAGTCATTGCAGCGGTAGAGGCCATGGAATGTCCCTATTGCAACAAGTTCGCGGTCAAGAAACAATCAGCACCAGCACATGCAGAAAGACCCACCGAGTTCAACGAGCAACTGCAGGTTGACACCATGTGGATTGACCTCAGCTCCATTGATGGCGCTCCAAATACCACATCAACCACTTCCAAAGGCCGAAAGATTGCAGTCCTGGTGATGATTGACACCGCCACCAGGTACATGGCAGCACGAACCATCCCTGATGAGACAAGTGGTTCATTGCGAAAGGCCTTGGAGCGGGAGTGGATCAGAATTTTTGGTCCGCCGAAGCAGCTTAGTGTGGATGAGTGGTCAGGATGGGGCAGTGATGAAATGGCCCAATGGGCAGGGGAACATGCCATTGAGATGCGCATATCTCCAGGCCAAGCCCATACAAGGACCTCTGTCGTCGAACGTCGACATCAGCTGCTGAGAAAATCCCTCTCCATATTCATGGCCGAGAACAAGCTCTACACCTTAGATGGTCTTCAACAAGCTCTCTCCTGGACAGTGCCCTGTCTCAATCAGAGCACCTTCGTCAATGGCTACACTCCAATGCAGCTAGCCCTGGGTCGACAGCCAAACTTGCCTGGACTGATCTCAGATGACCGAACCGGTCCACTTCAGCTTCAACAAACGGAGCAAGATCGACTTCGTCGAAGATTGGAGCTGAAAGCGAAGGCCCAACATGCCTGTGCTCAAGCTGAGATCGACGTGAAGCTCAGGAGGGCAATGCTGAGAAGATTCACTGGGAATGACGAGATCTTCAACCAGGAGAGCGCTGCTTGTATTGGAGAGAAACGGGCAACCGCTTCCATACCGTCCAATGGAAGGGACCAGCAGTGGTTGTCGCCGTCCAGACAGACCCTGACACTGGCTGCATCGACACCTACTGGCTGGCACATGGCACAGTGCTTCTCCGAGCAAGCCGACAGCACGTTCGTCGACTTGTGAGCGACGATGGACTGGTCAATGGATCACAGCGTGCCGAACAAGCACTGGCTGGCCTTCGCCAACGACGAGTTGTTCGCACAGTTGACCTACGAAGGATTAATCAACACACCTTAGAAGAGTTGGAGCCCGAGATCAGCTCACCCGAAGATCAACCAGACCTTCAAGATCAACAGATCCATGAGCCAGATCAACTACACCAACAACCTGTGCAAGTACCACAACAACCTGTTCCCCTACAACAGCAGCAAGATCAACAACACCAACAACCTTCTCAAGTACCACAGGAACCTGATTCCGTGCAACCGGACATACAACCTCAACCCACAAACTCAACAGCAAATCCCCCTATTGATCCAAGTGACCCACACCCGGATGACACACTGATGCCAACCGAGATTGAAGCACAACTTCCTCACGAAGTACCAGTGCCTCAAGACGAAGAATTTGAATCTGAGCCACCTGTGGCTGCTGGCAGTGCACCGCCTATGCACCTGCGAGATCCAGCATACATACCAGCTCAAGGAGAAACCTTCAGACAACAACGACGTCGCTTTGAACAACAAGAGACCATCTGGATGAGAAATCGCCCTCCGTCTGTTCATGAACGCCCTGAAGGCGAACAGCAACAGCGAGTCAAGCGTGCACGTCAACAAGATCAAGAACTTGAGATGCACGTTGATCTCTTTTGCGGAGGAGAAGGGCAAGAATCCACGGCATTGCCCGAAGGATGGTACTTTGACTCCAAGACACAAGAGTTCTACCTTGGCGACACGGTGGACTACTGGAGCTATGAGGATGGCTTCCTTGTCCGAAACCATGTTCTCAGCAGAACCCACACTTTCCAGGCTGAAGAATTTCCAATTCCTCAAGACCAACTTCAAACCACGACTGGCTTGACTTTGCAGCGTGGATCAAGACAGGTCTATGTCAATGACTCCGAGTCTGTTCAACTGGGACATGACCAGTGGTTTGGGAAGACACTCTATCCACTGACCAAGGAAGCCGCTGAGAATCGAGGCCAATACTACTTGGGTGACTTTTCCCAGAAGCTTCAGAGTAACCAGACAATTCGATGCCGAGGTCATATCTGGGCAGCTCAAGCTTTCCCAAAGCGAAAGGCCGTGAAAGAATCTGCAGATCTCCGAGAGAGCAAGATGAGCTTGGAAGATCGTTTGGCCTTCGTCGAGGGCAAGAAGGCTGAGCTTGCAGCCATCTTTGAGCACAATGTCTGGGAGGTTGAACTACATCCTGAGAAAGTCGACTGGGGACGAGTTATGAAAGCTCGTTTTGTCCTCAAGTGGACCAGCGATGGAAGAGCCAAAGCACGGCTAGTACTTCAGGGCTTTGGCGACCCAGACCTGCTTCAAGGTGAGTTGAACACCTCATCACCGACATTGGCAAGGTCGTCACGACAGTGCCTCTTGGCAATAGCAACATGCTCGATGTGGAAGCTGTTCATCTCAGACGTCTCCACTGCCTTCCTTCAGGGTGATCCTCAGACTAGAATCCTGTGGGCCAAGATCCCAAAGGATGCTTGCCAACTGATAGGAGTGCCACCTGGCACACTCATGAGGCTTCTCAAACCCATATATGGACAAGCCGATGCTCCCAGACAATGGTTTGTCGTTGCTCGACGCAGATTGATCTCCATCGGCTATAAGCCGCATGCTTTGGATCAATGTCTCTATTTGTTGCATCATGGCCAAGATCTCATCTCGATGATTGGTCTACACGTTGATGACCTTCTAGGAGGAGGTGACGAAAACCATGAGCGATATCAAGAGGCGAAGCAACGACTGAAGGCCGAATTCACCTTCAAGCATTGGCGCGAACAAGGTGAAAATGAGACGCTGGAGTTCTGTGGATGTCATCTCACACCCAGTGAGACTGGATGGTTGCTTCATCAGAAAGAATACATCGTGAAGATGAAACCCATCACCTTAGCAAACGGCAATCAAGAAGATCGAGAACTCAGTCCAAAAGAAGTTAGCCTGTTGCGTGCGTTGCTTGGAGGTCTCCAGTGGCCTGCTACCCAAAGCGCACCCCATCTGTGCGCCAGTGTGAGTCTTCTATGCGGAGAAGTTTCTCAAGCAAGGGCTTCAACAGCCCAACAGGCCAACAAACTCCTGAGATTCTCCAAGAACAATGCAGACACTGGACTGAAATTCACTCAACTTGGAAAGCTCACTGATCTTTGCATGGTAGCATTGAGTGACGCGGCCTGGGGAGTGAGACGCAATTCCGAGTCCCAGGGTGGATACTTTGTTCTCCTCATGCACTCTAAGGTTCTTCAAGGACACATGGACCAGCCTTATATCATTCTTGATTGGCGCTCATTCAAACTACCACGAATCAGCAGGAGCAGTTTGAACTCTGAAGCTCAAGCGTGCTCAGCTGCCATGGATGCCTTGGAGTATCTCATGATCTTTTGGCATGGATGCATGGTGCATGATTTTGATTTGCGCTACCTGGACACTCAAGACATTGCGATGCAATCAGCACTGGTCATTGACGCAAAGGCGTTGTTCGACAGCATCAAAGCCGAAGTTCCCCAACTTCAGGGAGACAAACGCACCAAGATTGAAATCATGATTGTCAAGCAGAAGATGGACGAAATTGGCACGAAACTCCGGTGGATCAGCTCAGAGATCCAGCTTGCTGATGGTGTCACCAAGATTGCGGCGCGACAGCTCTTGGCCGACCGTATCAGAACACACCTGATTTCCCTTCAAGCTGATCAAACTTTTCAGGCAGCAAAACGAAAGACGCAAGCTGAACGACAAGCATCAGCGCGTCGCAATGCCATTGGACGCATGGTCCACAAAGGCAGCCTGGGCTACGTGGTTTTGACCAACCAGCTTGTGCCAGTTCGAGGTGAAGGTTCTTCACATGACCATTTCCTTGACATCATCTTCACATTTTTCATCATCATCTTTATTTTCCTCATTTGGCAGTTCTTTCAACGAATGACATGGTCCCTGAGGAGCTCTTTTGGCTCAACCAGGACAGTTTCCCCGCTCTTGCAGAGCACCTCGACACAGACCGAACCGGACGGTGAGATTCCAAAGATGCGCCAGCACCTGGAAAATCAACGTCATCGAATCAACATGCTTACCCAACAAGTCCATGACAAGGACGACAAGATCACAGATTTGCAGGAATGGATTGACTACTATCAAGGAGACCTGGCATCGACACCACTTTGGGTGAGCCGAGCCGGCGAAAGATTTCATGTAAGACCAGAATGTGATTCCCTTCGGCATGCCAATCCCGGTGGCATCAGAAGGCTTACACTTTGCTCACATTGCATCCGAGATTTGCATTCGAGCAGCGGTGACTGATGACTCTGGCAATTTCCCTTTCTCCACCAATGTGAATTTGGTGCCACCAAATCAGTGCGAACTCAGTGATTGCCAGGAAGTCATCGGGAACATCATTTACATTTGGGACTTGCCTGCATCGCCCGTTGCATTTGGGCTTTTGTGGTGCATCGGCACTATTCATTCGGGTCCACAGGGCCCTTGAGCATGACCAATCATATGGCAACGCAGAGAAAACAGAAGTGCTTGCTTTGCACGTTGCACTTGTTCATTTCCAGTTGTGTTCAACACTTCGAGCGGTTGAAACACGAAGATCACTTTCCATATCTTCACACTACTTACTTCAGATTGAGTGAATCGAGTATTCGTATATGCGCGTGCATCCAAGGTGCTAACATGTTCCAACCATCTTCTCTCGTGGCCTGCCTTTGTCTGACATTTATCGCAGGGCATGGCTGCAGAGCCTTCCAGCTACGCCATGGCCTCTCTTCAAGTGGGATAGCTGCACAATTTGCTGCCCGATGTCCGAAAATGAAACATTGCATTTTGGAACCGCAAACCTGGCATGGTGATCCATTTCATCCGCAAACTTGCACGGAACGATTTTCATTGGAATGGTCCAAATGGTTGGAGCCTGTTTATGTCTGTTTTGGGTGGGAGTTGTGGAGAACTCATGCGGCGATGGAGCATGAAGCGCAACTTGCGAGACTCAACGGGTGAAACCACCCGTGCTTTGAGTCGCTTGAAGGCGCGGACGTTGTTTGAAAAACGGTTTTTCCTTTGAACTTTGTCACAGAGGATGCTTTGATTGTTCTACTTGCACTCGGGCAATCTGGGCCATACTGGCTTTGTTTATCAGTTTACCCATGTTTACCCGATCTAAGTCTAGTGATTTTTGATGATCCAAATGTCTGTGGAACACTACAATTTGGCCCAAGCCAACTCTCACTCGCACAAACATGCTGCATTGCATCTGCTACGCCACAGATAGCACAGGGGTTGCCCCTTGAATCCCTTTGGATCAAGGAGGCAGAATGAATTATGCAGCCCTACATGCACCGTGTTGGGGATTCTCTCATCGACAAAGGAACCTTGGCCCCCAATAGAAGTGCAGCGGAGGCACAGGATTATCACACAGACACACGCACTGCACTCTATATAAGTGAGAAGATCATTGAAAAAGTTGCCATAAACCAAACAAGAACGGACAAGCATAGCTTCATAGCACATGACAACACATCCCATATACATAATGTATGTATACGTATATGTATGTATATATATATCGTATTTACATCCATATACATCATCATTGATTACGACATTGTGTATAAAGAGATGCGACAGCTTCCTGCGGGTCTTGGCCTTGATCCCTGCGGCATTGGCTCAAGATGCGCGGTTCTTGATGGCTGTTGCAAGTGCTGAATACGGATTACATCGGATTACCATGGTGCGTATATTCATTTCATAGTCATGGCATATAAAAGGGAGCAAGCAAACCCATGCAAATGCCGTAGAGCAGACATTGGCGTCACTTTGCTGCTTAAGCATCGTTGCCGCGGCTGCAGCATGCGCGCACCTACGTTTCAAAGTTGCCAGTCAGAGTCTTCGCTTTCAGAGACTTTGGAAAGTTTGCCAGAGGCTGGCACGTGCAGTTCGGGCAGTGCATGACGAGGGATCGGCTCATGAAAACTAACCCTTTCCTTCTGTTAGGCATATTATATAAAATAAATGGGTTTCGTTTCGAATTAGAGGACAGAGGTTAGTCATGATATGAAAGCAACAGTGAGCGCTTGCAGCCGCTTGCATGCAGTGAATCAGTGGATATGCTGATATAACACACACACATATACACACATATATATATAAATATAAATATATATATATATATTTATTGTATGTATGCAGAGTGATAACTGATGACGGTTCCAGATGTTGCAGGACATGACACAAGATCCAGAAGTACAACTAAAGTCAAAGAGCTTTCCACCTCCTGAGACTCTCTCGAAGGACTTGGGGAAGGCTGCTGGCAGTTCTGGGTGGTGCGTTGAGATGGTTTCACAACCCAATGAATGGAGTTGCCATGGCCTTATATTAAGACAAAAGGCCCTCATTTTCCGAAAATAGACATCTGCATGCGTGAGTTGCAGTGAGGAAAGATCCCGCAAATGTATTGCAAATGTAAGTAAAGCCTACCTAGTATGAAAATAGTCCTGGAAAACATTGACATGGGGGAACCTTTTGTTGCAAGCTGTTTCCCCTTTTGTCACACGGTCTTGTCAAGAGTATGCATGTGTGTAGAGGTGTGTGTGTGTGCGCGTGTCACCTGCTGTTTGCAAAGGAGTTTTCTAGATTTTAAATCTGCTCGAACATGCAGGGGGTGATGGGCACTGCTTGGCCCTATGATGTCTTGGAACCTTGTGTGGTTGTTTTGTGGGCCCCCCAGGGATCCTGCACGAATCTTGTGCGGAGATCCTGTGAGTTGAAAGGCCCCTTGCGTGAAAGGATCCTGGGGAAATCTGGCGCAGTCCCCTACAGAGATCGTGGAAATCTACAATTAAATATAATCAAATATAGAGATATTTTGGAAAAGAGATCCGACATTATTTCCCGCAAGTTAACTTCCTCCACACTGTTTGGGGCCCCTTGCCGGACTCATTTCCACTGCTTCTCTGGTATTTCTTTTGTGTGACCCGAATATCAGAGAGTTGATGGTGGAAGTTGAGAACTGTGTTGTGACATCTTGCCGTTTAGGTTTCGCGGCAACGCGGGCGCAGCGCACCTGCGAAAAAAGATGCCTTGTGGAACCGGTGGCACTTTAGGCACCAGGGTTGGCAGGATGGTGGCAAACTGGATGGTTTTGTTTCGACATAGCTGTCCGGAAGGCCTTGTAACAGCATGAATGCAGTAATTAGATGTGATGTCTGCCAACGGCAAGTTTGCCGGTTTGCCGCTTGCACGACAGAGATCCCGTCAGACCATGTCAGGATTTTGCGGGGAATTACTTGTTTTGAGCCTTCCCAACTTTGAATCATTTGCACGTCGAATATTGACTAGCAATTGAATGGCAGTTTTGCTAACTTAGTGGAACAGTATGGAACAGTATGGAGCAGTATGGAATAGTATGGAGCAGTACTGGTACAGTAACAATTGCAGTAGCAGATTTTGCGCTGCCAGTCTTAGCGCCTGGACGGGACTTGTTGAACCACGAGTTCAGTCTGATGGAGCTTTGCCAGTGCTGTCCTCAGCTCAAGCAGCTGGTGGATGCTGGTGGTGTGGCATGGTATGACATGATGTGATAGGTGCAAAGAATAGCATTTATAATGAATTACAATCACTTATAACGTGGGTGTCTCCCTATTGCTTTGTGCAACCATTTGCAACTTTGGATATGATGCAAAGACACGTAGCATTTGTTTCATGTTTAAATCTGTGCCAAGCATGGGATGCAAGCAGGGTATTGCATGTGTTCGCACAGGCAACACATTGCAGCACAATAAAAATAAGTAATTGCAGTGCTTTAGTAGTGTGACAATGATTTTCAGTGCGATATGCACTGAGATTATCTTTGATTCACATATGGTAGCCTGTTAGGTTTTTTGTTTGGTCTCCCATTGGTCTGAGTACGGTACAGGCTGGTGGTAGTGAAACAACTTCATTGGACCACAATGATCTGCGGCAGAAATATAGGGGTTGCCTGGTACTGTGCATACCCTCTGATGAGTGGAGTCCGTGAGACATGGTACTGAAATGTACAGAACAGGCGCACAGATGGGTATAGCTATACCATGTATTACTGTATTACCATGTTATACCTGCATCAGTATGATTCAGTATGTAAGTCCTTGATGAAACATATCGCTTTTCCCTCTTTGGTGCAAAAAGTGCTTTTGTCCGTATTTCCCAGTCATAAGTAGATATGTAACCATATATCACACATATATACAGTATACAATAGTATACATATGTACGACATATATCCCAATTTATGGAGGTTTAAATCATTATTTTTAAACAGTGGTACCCTCCAGTAAATTAACATAGACCCTGAAAATCACCCATTTTTAATGGAAACTAATCTTCCAACCCCTATCTGCCAGGGTCTATGTTAATTTACTGGAGGGTATGTTTGTAGGAGCTGTGCTTTCCATAGGAGCTGGGCCGTTGCAGTCAGCCCTTGACGCTCTCCTGCGTGGAGCTCGCGAAGATGATGTCGATCTGCGACCCGCGGCTGGTGATTGTTGATGTCCGCGACGCGGACTGGGCGGTGAGATGTTTACCCTCTGGTAATTTAACGTAGCTATTGAAAATGGCCATTTATAGTGGATTTTCCCATTAAAAATGGTGATTTTCCATAGCTATGTTAGTTTACCAGAGGGTAATCAGGTGCCAACCACCAAAGAATTACTGTAATTTAAAGATATTTAAAGGGCAGCTCTAGAAGATCCAATTTTTTCGGAACCAACCAGCAGGTGAGACCTTTGTTCGTGCCACAGCATTCAAGTATTTGCATGCTGCTGTAGGCCTGCTGACAACATTTTGCTGTTGTATGGTTCTGCATCCCTTTTCTTCGAGCTATTTATATAAATTTTCAGTTCGCATTCTTCAGCAGGACTTCTTCTATTGCGGCAAGATACCCAATTCTTGGCATGTTGCTTCGGAATCCTTTCCGCAGAAGATGGCGCGGTTGGTACTTCAGTTGCACTTGTAGTGAGCCGAGCCGCTGCAAAGGGGATTGCTGCGGAAAAACATTCAGAAGCACTTGCCCCGCGAGCTTTGAAATCTTCGTGGAACAGAGAGAGAGAGATTCATATATAATCATATATAGCCATAGAATAATAAACGGTATAGTATATATATATATATGATTATATACGTGTATCATACCGTTCGTTCATTGTTCTTTGCCTCTCTGGCTTGGTTTGCTTTCCCAATGCCGGCGTGAGTTTGAGGTCTATCATTGCAACAAGCCTTGGTACCGAGCAGTGTTCTGCTCGTTTGATGGTGTCCGAAGGCAAGTGAAAACATTCTCGGTCTGACTCAATGTTTTCCTGCAATGTAAGAAACACACGTATAGAAAGATCACATTGTGTCTGTCCGGCTTTTGAGTTGCCATTTTCAAAAACATGTTTGTGTCTATAATTACTTACTCATCCTCCTATAGTTGAATCCATCCCTGTCAGTGATGATGTAGATGAAGAGGTCATTTGCATGCGCAGAGCTGTTTCAGCGAGCCGTTCACGCTGTCTACCGGAAAGAGGCGGGTGATGGCTGGGGCAGATTGACGAAACATGAAGATCATGAAGCAAAAAAAAACATGAAGCCTGTAGCAGCTGTAGCACAAAGTATGCTGTGCTCCAAGAAGAGGCTACTCATAGATCTTTCAGGTGAAAACATTGCTCTCGAAAACTGAAGTCCCCCGATTTCCCATGTGCTCTTTAAAGCCATGCATGGATGTGCATGGTGGAGCTTCCAAAGCCTTAACAGCCAGGAGTGCTGTTC